CTCCAATTAAATCCACCTCGACAGCGCACTCCCCACCAAAGGCGTAAGCACTTGAAAGCAAACCGAGTGACAGCGCGTGTCAACAGCAATCATCCTCAGGTAATAATGCCGACGGCTTCTTCTTCCGAAACTTACACCGACGCAAAGTAATGCGTTGATCGTGGAAAGACTGGTTGCCCCTCTAGCAGTGACAAATCCTCCACCTTTAGCAGGCACGTTTGACGGCAATTCTTCAGTGCTACAACCTACTGCCGCAACCCACGCGACTTGTCAAGATGCATAAGTCACTAATTATTATCACTAGTTGGGGGAATTTGTAGCGACATGTGCTCCTCAAGTTTCGTCTCAGACGAAACGGCGCAGTATCTCTGAGCAACTCCACTGCAGTTTTTATTATCCGGGGCATGCCACACTCAACCCAAAAGTTAAACACCGTGCAAGGTCTATCTAAAAACACTGAGCGACAAAAATCTTACTATAAGAGGAACTTACTTGTCATTACTATGCAACACACCGGAAAGGTTGCTTTTCAGCTGATCACATAATCGTGGCAGGACAACTTCCTGGAACTCTTCGGCAGAAGGGAGCTGGTATTTCGGCTGCAAATGACGAAGCAAATTTCGAAAACCTGTGCGATTGACCTTTGTTGGTGATTCTTCATCCAGAAGAAGCATGAGCCCAATCTGCAGATATTACAGAATTTAAATGCTGCACAGAAATGAAAAAGATTTTTATCAGGACAATGCAGTCTGCCAAGCTTTTTCTTTTAAGGATCCGAACAGTACTCGATCCGAAATTATTGATGAAACCCTCCTCCCCGCCCCCTCTCCCTCCTTCAACCCATCCACGATAAAAAAGAGCACTAAACTAGTAACAATGCACTTTATTCTGCCTTCCCCTGCCCAAAATTGGCCTACTCTTCAGCCCCATTTCCAAAATATCACACGCTTTACGCTTGTGACGCCAGTCATCCGCTCTTTAAGCAACCACGCACTTCTTAGATATCTTAATTGTCCTTTTAGAAATACCTTACGTCGGTTAAAGCGTAATTTACATCTTTTCCAACAATTTACCAGCCCTTCGTCTACCTGACGTGCTACTCTAGGCAGTCCTTGACGACTCTCCTAGAGCAAAACAGGCGTCCATTTTCATCGCGGCAGACCTCTGATTTCAGCAGGTAGCAGCGACTAGTTATTTAGGGTGTAAAAAATCTCCTTCTTCACTGATCGTGTCTTAAAAGTATGCTGGATTAATGGCTGAATTAAACTAGTTGCGGAACCGGATCATAAACAAGCGCATCTCGTAGCAAAACTCTCGATTTTCGAAAACTCAACACTATACACATATATAATTTCTCAATCTGCAGGAATAATGAAGAGACGTAAAGGAGCGAAAGCATTTTTTTCTTTTTCCAACCTTCATGCCCAAGGGATGCGAAGTGCAATCCACTCCCCCCATTTCGTCCCTTTCATGTTTATTAAACCCTGTTCCGATATCCCCAGAATCCCACTGTAAGTCATCTAACTTCAACAATTGTACAGAGCGCACCAACGAGACCATTTAGGAAGGGCCGATGTTCAAAAGGCTCTACGATAGCTCATTCTAAACCTCATGCGGTCTTGGATCCTTCAAAAAAATTCAAAATTAACCTTCTACGACATCAACGAAAACAAATGGCAACAAAAAACACAATGTTAAAAGGTAATAAGTAATTCCATTCAACAACAGACCTGATCTGTAATTGTTCGTGCGTCAGGATGGTCATCCGGCCAAAAATTTTCCTTCACTTTCCGGTTGTTTTCCGCGTGTCGATTGCTTTTTATCTTTTGTTCGATGCTCAGATCAACAGCGCTAACGCAGTTGTCAAATTTTGCTCTTTTTGATGTAGGTGCACTGCTCATTCCCGTGTAACCACCGCTATTCCCCGACGGCGTCCTCTTAAAAAACACCGCAGTTAACGTTCAATACCAAAGCCTATGGATCTCCAGTGATTGCGCTGCTAAAGCTCCTCACAGCTGCTTTCGCTTTATTATGCGTTTTTGCTATGCAGCGTTACAGGCTGCTACAGCCAGCAAGAACGCATACTGTCGAAAGGTCATATGTGTATATGTGTTCGGAAGCGAGGGAACTTTGTCACCTTCTTCCGGAAGCGAGGGAACGTTGACTGAAATTTTAGGCCCCCTAACTTTCCTGGTTGCTGAGATGAAAGGGTCATCTTCCCGTTTTAAAATTTTCGCTCATACGTACCTAGACCTCGCATACGGACCTCCCAAAAAAATATGCAGATTTCTTTGGCAGAAAACGATTTCGCGAACCAAGCAAGGTACAAAGCTCAAAGTTTGTAGGGATATTCTCGGTGCGTGTGCGAGCTAAAGACTTCAAATTCAGTTGTAGCACACGCTTGTGCAGCGCGCGCGACCACTTTAAAGTTTGCAACTTGGTACTGTGCAAACTTGAAAATTTTCTGGAAAACAGTGGCTGAAATTTTGTCAGCATGCTTATTGCCCACATGCGAAATCGTATTTCTAAAATGAGTACCGACTTGCACTCGCGCCACGACTTAGGGCACTTCAAAGACATTTGCAGTGAAGTGACTATTTCGGCAACTGGATAAGGCGCGAGGCTGAAGCTTCGCTGGGATATTCTACTTTCAAGTGCGGTCTTAATTCTGCTTGGAAGTGAAAGCCCCTGCCGATGGGCATGAGAAATACTCAACTTTGCCTAAAAATCAGAAACGAGTGCATTTTGCAGCGGATGACTACCCTTACCCTCCCCAACATGTAAATGAACTCATATATTTGGATTTTTAATTAACGACCGTTCTAGCAACATTTGCACTTTCCAGTGTGCTGGAAACTTGCATTTTTTCGAAGAGCGAGTATTTACCAGAAAAACGACTGGGCTTCATGCAAAAAACTGATAA